GTGTGCTTCATATTTGTACACATACACATAGGTGTGTGTGTGTGCAGCAAGAGAAAGACTGAGCAGCTCACAATTTCACTCTATGTATATTAACAATTTCACATATATGTGTATGTGCATGCAGGGAGAGAAAAGGGCATTGTGTATTTTTAAGGATACAGTGTGTGGGTGTGAATATCTCTAATTATATATATATATATATATATATATATAAATATGTAATAATATACAGAATTATGTATTGATATATATGTGGATATATAGCAAAAGAGATTGTGTCTTAGTATGAGCAATCTTGGTGAATATCCATATCCACATCCATGCAGAGAGAGGTGAATGAACAGGTTACTCGGCCCTCCATATATAGTATATGTGCATATATGTGTGTGTATATTTATAGAAAGGGAAAAGTGTGTGTGTGAGAACAACTCTCTCTCTGTAGATGCATATATACCTATGTGTGCATGTATAAATAAATAAATATATTTCAGGTGAACTTGTATGCAAAGAGCTCTCATCCCTTTCTAAACACAGATCTATGTAGGCACATGGAGTGAGAGAATTATGCACATTTGTGAACAGCTCACAGGTTCTTGCTCTATAAAAATACATGAGTGTGCACAGTGCTTTCTCCTGTTATATGTGTATATATGCCTATATAAAGAGAATTATCTGTGTGAAGTTTATATATATATACACAAATATATGTATGTATATAGTCTGTTACAAAAAAAGGGCATTTCATGGGTGAGAACGTATGCAGAGAATATATATCAGAAAGTGTTGTATGCGAAAACAGTTCTCAGTGTGTGTGTATATATGCACATCTACAAATATATAGCCTATATAATATAGAAATATACTTTATAAATACCATACCTGCTAGATCATCCCCCTAGTATCTAAGTATATATGTATATATATATATGTATATATATGGAGTGTGTGCACGTGTGTGAAGCAAGAAAGTTGTGTAATTGTATGGAAGAACAGCTGTCTCTCTATAGATACAGGTATATAAATATGTATATCTGTGTGCAGGAAGAGAGGAAGAGAACTGTGAGTGTTAACAGCCCTTTAAGTACCATACAGAGTGAGAACTGTGCATGAAATCTGTATAATATGTATTTATGCATCTATATGCTCATATATAAGGCAAGAGAGTCCTGTGTGTGAGAATGGCTCTCGCTAGCTCTGCTCATGTGTGTACATACGGAGAGAGAATATATCACCATATGTACATAGATATGCATATATTGATGTATCCCAGAGAGTTTATATGGAGGGGGTGCAAAGAGATGGAGAGTCATGGAAACTGTGTTTGTGTGTATGGATTGCTCACTCATTTTGTTATTTATATATGTCTAAATCTACAGATATGGCAAAAGAGACAATATGTGTGAACAGAGACTATTGTTAGTGTGAACTATTCACACAGACTATTGCTGAGTGAAGATCTTTGTGTGTGTGTGCATTTATTTATATATAACAAGAGAGTTGTGTGTGTGCTGGCTCCCAAATTATACATGTATAATGTATATTGTATGTATAAATATGTAGAGAATTATGTGAGAAAACAGGCTCTCTCTACATATAGAAGTACATATATTTATTTATTTATATATAAAAACATATATAACATATAATATATATAACATATATATTTGTTACAGCTTTCTTACAGATTTTTTATATACATATATATAATGTTGCAGCTTTCTCCCTAAATAGTATATGTATACCCATGTATTGAGCAAATTATGTGTGTGAACAGCTCTCCCCTAACTCTCTATGTTCTCTTAGAATTATGTGTTAACAGCTGTGTCTATAAGGGGGTGTGTGTGTGTGTGTGTGTATATATATATATATATATATATATATATATATATATATGCATTATACATATCTATACAGGAACAGAAAGGACTGTCATGTGTGAAAACAGCTCAGTATAGAGGTATATATGCATATATATGAACAGAGAACAATATGTATAAGCAATGCTTTCTCTAATTATATAGTATAGATTAATATATAGATAATTATTAGAGAACACTCTCTGTACACATGTACACTATACAGAGCCAGTTCTGAGTGAGAAAAGCTTGCTCTCTCTCTTCATAATGTATCACATACTGAGAAAGAATTATACAGAGATTATACAATTATATAGGGCAGGGAGAGAGTGATAGAAAATGTATGTGTGTGAGACAATAGTGTGAGACAATAGGTCTTGCTCTTTTCCTCAGGTATATATGCACATGTATTTATAGACAGCAGGAGAGAATAATGTGTGTGATCAGCTCTCAGTCCGTGTCTCTATGCACACCTAATGGATGTATATAGTGTGAGAGAATAGTGTGCATGTATTTGTGTGCACACAGAGGGGCAGGAGAAAGGAGTGTGGGAGCTTGTCCCCAGATCAGTCCATATTGCACACATTATGTATGTCTGTGTGTGCACAGTGAGAATGTTTGAACAGCACGCTCGCTCTCATCCCGTTTCTATAAATGCCAGTGTGTGGGTATATATAGCCAGAGAGAGCTGCCTGTGAGCCTCTCACACTGCCTCTGTAGATATCTGTGTGTGCATGCATGTATGTGAGAGCTGTGTGTGTGAGCAAGTCTGGCTGTGTCCATGTAAGTGTGTGTGTTCATGTGGGGACAGAATGTGTGTGTGTTCATATGGGGACAGAATGTCTGTGTGTCTCTGTGTTTGTGTTTGTGTGGAGATGTGGGTGCATTCATATGGGAACAAAATGTCTGTCTGTGTGTGTGTGTATGTCTGTGTGTGTTGTGTGTCTGTATGTGTCTGTCTGTGTATGTGTGTGTGTGTGTATCTGTGTCTGTGTGTTTTTTGTGTGTGTGTGTGTTGTGTGTGTGTGTGTGTGTCTGTGTGTGTTCGGGCTATTTTCTCCCTCTCTCACACACACAAGCAGCCTCCCCCACCCATTCTATTCACACACACATATTTCCACGTGTGTGTTCCATTCCCTGCCCTGTCCTTGGAGGGGAGGGAGAGCAGCCCTGACTGACAGCGCTGTATCTCTGTGCTGGGGGTTGGTGTGCTGGCTCCCTGTGCTGCTCCCAGCCACACAGCCGGGCTGGGATCGGGGCACTCACTGCCCAGCCCTGCTCGCACACCCACCCACCTACACACGTGTATTGTTCTTAAATTTTCATATGTTTATGTCAATATTTTCAAATACATAACTATGTCTTTGTGTGTATGCATTTACTTACACTTATTTTAAATTTACTGTAGCTATTACATTAAACAACAACTATCAGATATAACAGACGCAACAGACACACCAACCACACTCTACAGCCGGCATTGCTGTAAGCTTCCACCCGGCCACAGGGTTACATTTACACGAGTGCAGGTGTGTGTCCGCATGTTACAAACACGCACACATCATTCACCCCCCGGTGGCAGCCGTGCAGGCGGAGGCAGCGGTGTGCTGGGGTGCTGCTCGATGCTCCCGGTGCTCCGGGGGTTTCCCGGTGGGGATGCCGGGGCTGGCTGCGCCCTCTCCGTGCCCGAGCGCCGGCCGGCTCCGGGGGCGGGCAGAACTCATCGCAGGGTGCCTGGCACGGCTGCCGGGGGGCACAGCCCCGCTGTTCGGGGGCTCTCTGCTCGGGGTGGGGACAGGGCACCCGCTGCGCTTCGGGATGGGCTCACAGACCCGGCTGGGCAGATCCTGCTGCCCCCGGAGCCCCGGGACCGCGGGGACTCGTCCCGCCGGCGGCGGGGGCTGCGGGCGAGGGAAATGGCGGAGAGAGCCGGGGATGGGGAGAGGGGAGGAGGAGGAGGAAGGGAGGGCGGCGGGGCTGTGCGGACTCGGCGTGCGTGGGCAGGGGGCGGGTGCGACAGCGTGTGTGGGTGTGCCCGTGTGTGAGTATGCATTTGTGTGTGTGTGTGAGTGTGCAGGGGTGTGTGCACAACCGGGCACGCCCCCGTGCCTGTGCCCCGTGCCCCGTGTCCCGGCCCACCCGCGGCGGGGGCGCACGGATCCCACTCCCCGGAGCGGGGGGAGCGCCGGGGCTCGGCCAGGGAGGCGTCGCGCACTCCCTTCCCCCTCAGCCGCGTTTCCCCGGTGGGGTTTGGGGTGATGGGGTGAATTATGGAGAATGATGGGGGGGCGGTGTTCCGAGCATCGCTGTTGCCCCCTTCCTCCCCGCCCATGGAAGCTGCGCCTGCAGCGGAGCTCGAGCCCCCCGCCCGCCCCGGTACCACGGCAGGCAGAGGCTGCAGGGGCGGACACGATTCACACACTCCCCCCGCACACACGGCCCTGAGCCGGCTCGGGAGGATTCCCGGCCCCTCCCCGGCCCCGCCGCCCTTTTCGCATCCTCCGCCGGGAGTGGGGAGGGTCACACCGGGCACGCAGGGCTCCCCCGGGGGCCTCCCCCCGTTGACCAGGGGGTGAGGGTCGGTGGGGGGATGGCCCCAGTCGCAGGGGCGGGGACCCCCGGCCACGGCGGGGCATCTCGGCGCTGCTGCCGGCGGCCGCGGGAGGGCGTCGCCTGTGTTAGTTCCCTCCGGAGAACCCAGGGCCAGCGCCGCCGCCACCGCCCCCCGGGCCCCGCCGCCTCCCCCCGCCCGCGGAGGCCCCTCTTGGGCGGCGGGTGACGGCGCCGGCGGTGGGCGGGGGAGCCGAGGTGAGGCCCCAGTCGCCGCCGTACTGGGCGCCCCCCTCCTCACTGCCGCCGCCGCGCCGGCCGCGCCCCCAGAGTCTGGGCGGGGGTGTTCGGGCGGCGCTCGGCGGGGGCGGTGGCGGGCGCGGGCCGGGGGGGCGCGGCGGCGCGGGGGGGCCGGGCGGCGGCGCGGGGGCCCCGCGAGCGAGCCCCAAGAAGCACAAACGGGGCTGGCGGCGGACCAGGCTGTTGTTGTTCTCAACGTGGTCCGCCCCGCGCCCATATAAGAGGCGGCGGCGGCGCCCGCCCCGGCAGAACGCGCACCGAGTGGAGCCGAGACAGCGCGCTGCGCTCGCCGGGCCCCGCCACGCCGCCGCTGCCCCCGCCCGCCCCCGCGCCGGCCCGCGGCCCGCCACTCCCCGCACCATGTCGGTAGACCTGGAAGAAACCGATCTGCCCATGGCCGAGGCAGAGGAGGCGCCGCTCTCCCCAGAGAAGAAAGCGGCTGCTAAGAAGGCGAAAGGAGGCGGCGGCGCCTCGTTGTCGCCATCGAAGAAAAGGAAGAACAACAAGAAGAAGAACCAGCCGGGCAAATACAGCCAGCTAGTGGTGGAGACGATCCGCAAGCTGGGGGAGCGCAATGGCTCCTCGCTGGCCAAGATCTATAACGAGGCCAAGAAAGTGGCTTGGTTCGACCAGCAGAACGGCAGGACTTACCTGAAGTACTCAATCAAGGCACTGGTACAGAACGACACACTGCTCCAGGTCAAGGGCACCGGTGCCAACGGCTCCTTCAAGCTCAACAGGAAGAAGCTGGAAGGCGGCGGGGAGGGGGGCGCGGGCAACAGCGCCCACAAGTCCCTCAAGAAGGCGACGGTCTCCTCGACCCGGAGGGCGGAGAAGCCGGCGGCCAAGAGCAAGAAGCCCGAGAAGAAATCGCACAAGAAGGGAGCCAGCAGCGCGGCGGCGAAGAAAGACAAGGGCAAAGCCAAGAAGGCCACCAAGAAGGGAGCCGCGTCCCCCGGGGGCAAGAAGGTGAAGAAGTCGGCAAAGCCTAAGGCGCTCAAGAGCCGGAAGGCATGAGACCGAGGCGCAGGGAGCCTCCCGCCGCCCTCCGGGCTGAGAGCCCCGCGGCACAGACTGCTCTGAGGACAGACCCCAGGGGACCCGCTTTGTCTTTGTGTTGCTGACTCGCCTCCGCAGCCACCGCCGTGCGCGGTGAGCGGGGCTGCGGCCGCCCCAGCGCCCCCCCTTCCCCTTCTCTGCCGCCTTATTTTGTCCATCCCTTTTCCCCCCATCCCATTCCGCGGCTTTTCCCCGATCGCGCCCTTTTGTTTTCGGCCGTGCCCCTCCCCGCCTGTAGACGGTTCCCGGCCCCCACCCCCTCCCCGTCCCCCCGGTTCTCGGGGATTTTTCCCGCCCGGTTTCCATAGCAGCCATTTTGCACGGGGCCCCCCCGCGCCACGTGGGCCGGTCCCGCTCCCGCCGCCCGCGCGCGCCCCGCCTGGCCCCGCCCCCCCCGCCGCCCTCTCGCGGCCGCACCATAGGGCCGGGGCGCCCCCTGGCGGCCCGCAAGCGGCCCCGCCGCCATGGCAACGGCCCGGCGCGCGGGAGCGGCGCCCTCTGGCGGCCGCCGGCCGCACCTGCAATGGCCTTTAATGTTTTTGTATGGGTCTGGGGTGGGAGGGTGGGGAGGGTTTGGGTTAGTGGGGTCGTTTTTTGGTTTCTTTTTTTTTTTTTTTCCTTTTCATTTATCGTCGTTTCAAATAAATTGGTACAAAACGACTCTCCCGTGTGCTCCCTGCCTGCAGGCGTCAGGGACCGGGCAGGAAGGGGGCTGGTCCCAGGGGGGCTTTCCTTCTGTTCGGGGTCCGTGCGGGTGCCGATGCGCAGAGCCCGCACCCCGCTCCGAGTGGGGGACAGGAGCAGAGGAAGGAGGGTCCCCGCCATGGAGGCAGGGCAGGAGTGCGATGGTTGCGCAGCTGCGCTCCCGGAGCAGCGAGGCGGGGGCAGCCCCGGCGGACACGGGCAGCACACACACCCCCACAGCCGGTACCGATCCCCCGCAGCACCCGGTTGGACAGGGCAGCTCCCGGGGCACGGCCCTCGCCCCTCTCCGGCCGAGAGCGTTCCCCGGTCCCGCAGCAGGAGCAGCAGCCGGGCACAGCCGGCGCCCCCCCGGCGCTGTCTATTTATAGCGGCCCCGCGCGGTTGCGTAAATCCCGGCGGGATCTGGGCCATCTTGTTCTGCCGGCTACGGGAGGCACCGAGGGACGAGCAGGCTCATCGCCCTGCGTGCCCCGGGGCTGCCGCAGAGGGGACAAGCAGGGGCAGCCCGGCCCCGAGCACGGGGTGGGGAGCGGGGCACGGAGGGGTGCAGGGACCGCCAGGCCGGCTGGGTGAGCCCTGGCAGCGCTGCCATCGCCGCAGCTCCCACCCCACAGCACGGTCCTGCCCCGCTGCTGACACAGCCAGGGAGAGTTTCAGCAGCAGCACTGCCCGAGGGATGCTCCAGCCCTGTGCTGGAGCATCGACGTGTTCCCGGTGCTAGGGAACACAGCATGGATCAGGCCCATCCAGCATTCCCCGGGAGCAGGTGACAGGGACAGCAGCCAGAGGGGCCTAGGGACTGTCACACCAGTCCTTTCAGCACCCCTGGGGAAGCACAGCCCCTTCCTCAGGGCCCCAGTCAGGCCTGCGTTATCCCTTTGTTCCCTGCAGAACAAGCACGGAGAAGGGAAGCAAGTTTTAGTCCCTGAAGAAATGTCCTTTTGCTAATCCAGAGGAGAAGGCAGCCATGCTCCTGGAAGAGACCAGCCCTGGTGTGCCAGAGGCTGCAGCCTCCCTCCAGGCCTGTATTCAGGAGCAGCAGGCCCCATCCTGCTGGCCCACTGCAAGCCTGGGACACATCTGCTAAATTCTGGCACTGCCCTGCTCTGTGTCCTGAGCCAGTAGCTGCAGCTTTGGGAGGATCAGAGGGGATGCCCTCACCAGGGGCTGGGACACAGGGGTACAGGGGCCACCCTGCTCCCCAGGAGGGAAGGTTAAACCAAGCCCAGCTCAGCTCTCAGCTCTCCTCTGCATGGCGAACTAACCAGGCAGAACAGCAGGCACGTTCCTGTGGGCAGATAAAGGCAGAAACAAGGCAGTGACCCTCCAGCTGCCCAGCACAGGGAAGGCAGCAGGGTGACACTGTGCCAATCCAGCTGGAGCTGCCTTACCTCACAGGCTGGCCCTGCCAGAGCCATGATGCTGGGGCATCCCTGAGTGAGCTCCCCTGGGTGCTGCCAACCTTGAGGAGCAGACTCTGGAGAGAAACCCAAGCCCTGGGGACTTTGAAGAGGCAGTGACTCATCTCATCCAATGCCAGAGCTGAGGGACACAGCTGGCAGAGACTGTGCTGCACGTGGTGATGCACAGCAGCCTCCCACAGCCGGCAGCTTTCAGCTCCCAGTCTGTGCTCAACCCAGCTTCAGGTACCCAAGGGAACAATCCTGCTGCCTCCCAGCCCTCTCCTTAAGGGAAGCACAGACCAAGAGACCCTTCCAGGCTCACCTGACCTCTGGGGAAGGCTCTGCTCAGCCAAGTCCTTCACAGGAGCTCTGGTGCTCTGAAGCATTCAGAAGAGCCAGGAACAGTGTCAGCCCTCCAGAAAGGACAGGACCTGTCCCTGAAGCTGCAGGCTTGACAGTGACCACATTTATTCCAACTTTATAGTAAAGACCAAGATTTCCAAATCTGCCGGTCACAACAGTGTTCAGCTGTGAAGTTTACGAGGTGATAAAGGCCAAGCACTTCAGCCATGCTTGCTGTGACAGACAGGATTTCCTTCGGTCTGCCTTGCACCATCCCAGCTTTCCCAGCTGGGCTGTCACATGCCAGCAGAGGCAGCTCAGAACCCGGCTGGAGCTCAGTGTGGAGGGCACGGTGTGCCACCAGCACCCGGTCACAGCAGGGTCACACAGCACCCAGGGAGGCTGCAAGCACTGGGCAGCAGAGCCTGTGCTGGCAGAGCAGCTGCTGACACTGCCCTGCACCCACACCTCCTACAGCCCTGCACAGACCAACCTAGCACCACTGGGAGCCATCCAAGCTTCCCACAACCCTTATTCCTCCCTAACACCCAAACAGGGCACAGCACTGGTGCAGAGCAGCCTCCAGAACAGCCACCTGGGAACGTCCAACAAAGGGGAGCGTGTGAGGGTAACAAACAGCCTTGCAGCTCCAGGCTCCTTCCTTCCCTCCAGGATCTCTGAAGGGAATTTTCTCATCTCTGCAAGGTCACCCAAAGGCTCCTGGAGCACCTTAGCTCTGGGGAGGGTCCTGGGTCCAGCCTCACTCCTCCGCCTCCCCTGCATCCAGGCAGGAGCAGCTGAAGGTTCCTGGCACTTGTGACAGAGCAAGCAGGCAGTGTGGCATCCCCACAGCAGGGAAAGGAACCACACAGCAGCATTATCCTCTCCCAGGGTAGGAAAAGGCTCTGTCTGAGTGAAGGGCAAACCCACAGGCTGGCAGTGGTGCTGTCTGGTGCTTTACCAGTCCTTCTCCTTGGAGAACACAGAGCCCAGACACCAGAGCCTGCCAGATCCCCTGGGTTTGGTGAGGTGACAAGACACAGCACATGTAAGAGTATTCAACAGGGAACCAGTTTAATCAGATACCAGGTTTGCACCATTCTTTTCAGAATCACAAGTTCTGCATTTTTCTAAGAAATACAAAGCACTCTCAGGTTTACAGAATGCTGGTCCTGGAGAAAACAAGAGGGAGAGAACAAGACACTAGGATACAGACACTAGGATACGGGGCAGCAGGAAGGAACCCGCTCATCCCCACCTGGCTGATGGCAACAGCCTGCAGGAGGCAGAGAGCTCCCAGGGGGCTGTGCTGCTGCAGGGGGGCTGTGCCCTGCTGTCCCCACCCCAGTGGGACGGTGGGACACCCCCAGACCCCCATCAGCACCACACCAATGCACACACCGCTCCCACACACCCCAATGGAAAACCCCTGCATTAACCAGCTGACAAGCATCCAGGTTCTACTCTAGGTAACATTAAACTCAGATCCAGGGTAAGATACTTCATCCACAAGATTAACAGATGATTCAATAGGTTGAACATGCTACTTACAGCACATAAATAGAAGATACTCTTTTTTTTTTTTTACTTAAAAACCATGTGATGAAGGTCTAGGTGGGACTGCCTCGACACTGCTGCATGCACACGAGTATCAGCCTCACAGAAGCAGGAAAGCTGTCTCTGCATCACCTATTCACGGGGTCACGGGACAGCTATCCTGCCCCCATGCTCAACATTAGCCACACAGCCAGGAAATAAACATGGCACTAGCCAGGAGTGGGCTTTAATACAAACTCTAGTGCTTTTCAAAAGAAATATTAATCCATAAAGGGTTACAGTTAACAGATATCATCATCACTTTTATTTCTCAGAGCCAGAAATAGTGCTGAACAAACAAACAAACAACAACAACAAAAAAAGAGACAGAGTATGTAATTTCCAGAAGTGCAACCAGGGTACAGGGCAGCTCTCAGCGAGACGAAGGGCTTGTGCAGCTGGGAGAGGAGGGGAGCCATGGCAGAAGATGGCAGCTCCCGCTCCCGGCGGGCGCCTGACCTTGCGACGCTCTCCGAGGGGATTTGTCACCGCAGCCTCCACCCCACCCTGCACCGGGACCCACGGCTGTGGGAACACCGAGCACCCACCGAGCCACGGAGCTGCGGGGAGGCGGCTTTACAGGGATGTACCCAAAAATAGAGACCTTAAAATAAATAGGACTAAAGCTTCTTTACAGTAGGCAATGCACTAGTTTTACCATGAACAAAACTAAGACTAACAGCCACTCCTTGCCAATGGAGAAACTTTTTCTCCTCTTCACGTTTTCCAGCCCCCTGCCCTCGCAGCTGCAGTGCGGCCAGGATGGCATTGCTGAGGATGGAGGCGGGGGCACGGCAGCAGCGAGCGCACACCGGGGCGAGCAGGGGGGGCCCTGCACGGTCCCGGGGCTGGCGGAGGGGAGAGGCAGCCGGGGGTGCCCGCGTCCATCCCTGGGCCAGCTACACCAATGCTCAGCAGCTACCGGCAGCTCTGCATCGTGACCCAACCGCACGGCTCCAGATGTCACCGCTGCCAGCAACTGCGACCCAGCTGCCTCCTCCAACACCACTTCTTCCAGGGGGAAGAGAGGCAGAGTGGGGGCACAAGCAGGGCCTGACCTCACCCATGCTCACCCAGCACCGTGCCACGGCCCAGGCCAGAGGGGCAGTGAAGGGCTGGTGGGTGCTGCCAGGGCTCACCACCCGGCCAGGGCTGAGGGGCAGGACGGGGAACCGCAGCCCCGGCGGGAGGAGAGGCGAGGCAGTGGTGACAAGGGAGCTGGGGGCGGGGGGACGGGGGGCAGCGCTCACTTCTTGGAGCTCTGCGTCTTCTTGGGCAGCAGCACGGCCTGGATGTTGGGCAGGACGCCGCCCTGGGCGATGGTCACGCCGCCCAGC